TCTCTCTCTCTCTCTCTCTCTCTCTCTCTCTCTCTCTCTCTCTCTCTCTCTCTCTCTCTCTCTCTCTCTCTCTCTCTCTCTCTCTCTCTTTCCGTCTCTCTCTCCCTCCGCCCTCTTTTCTTCTCTCCTTCGGTCTCGACGCTTGCGTCGATTGTTTGAGAATCGCGTCACTGGATCTATGCTCGCTCACCATGGATATTGAATGAATTTGTTGAGGGTTCTTGTATTTCTGTTGCGATCGAATTTGTTAAGGGGATCTCGTATTCCTATCCTGATCGTATTATGCTCTATTTCATTTGGTCTATGCTCACTCACCATGATGAATGGATCTGTTGAGAGGATTTTGTATTGCTGTTACGTTTGTATTATGCTCTGTGTCATCTGTGGGAGTTTTGAGTCGGCTAGCGAATAGCAACCTTCCCCCAACCCTATGTCCGTGTGTCGCCGCTTTCACTTGATTTGGCGGCCTTCGACCGTATTGGTCGTAGTTTCTCCTACCGCAAATGGACGCACGAGTGGTTTTACCCCGCCACGGTAATATCTTGCCCCTCGCGGTGTTTACCCTGCGCCCAGTGTGCCGGCGAAACGAAGCCGGAGCAGTGCGGGTATGACGTGTCGTACTCGTACGAACCACATGTGGCACACACATGCAACACACACACACACACACACACACACCAATGTCAGTCATCAGTGCAACCCTCGTCTTCGACGAACTGCTCGCTGCAGCTGTCGGAATCGGGGTCGTCCTCGACAATCTTTGTCCGAGGCTTGCACTTCCGGTTTTTTTTTTCCGGCTTCGTAGCCGGACTGGCAGTCTTGTTCTTCCGAGGCCTGCCACGTGGAAGTTTCGGCCTCGGCACATCGTCGACAGGGGGCGGCTTCCTCTTCCTCCCAACCCTGCTAACCCACAGGTTGTCGTGTTGGCTTCCCTCTATGTTGTCTGGGAATTCGGGGGAATTCTCCGGTGACCCGGCAGGCTGCGCTGTTTTCTTCCGACGCTTGTACACGGTCGTCAGTGCACCATCCTTAGCTCCGTCCACCAAGCATCCCTCTGCATTGTGAAGTATACGAGATCCGCTTTCGCTTGCAGCTTCGCGCTCGACCACCGCATCGCCTTCCATTTCCCCACATTCGTTGCGTCCACCATGTCCTTCAAAACTGCCCTCCGGTTGTGTATCCGCTCCAGCATCCGGTACACCGACCCGAAACGGACCTCAGTCGGTCCCAACAGCGTCAATGATGAGTCCAAACTCATCATGAAACTGTTAGTCGTGTGGTGATTCCTGATAAATTTGACGATGGTGTGGCCGCGCTTCACCATGCCCTTCACCCACTCCAACTTGCTGATGTCCCTTAGCAGCAAGCTGCAGCAGTGTGCAGCACAGGGAACCCAATGTATCTTTGAAACCGCGGGGTCCGTGCGTTGTTCCAAAATTTGAGTTGCCCTCTTGTTCACCTCCGCGTTGTCAGTGCAAATCGCGTTGATGCGTTGCAGCCCGATCTCCCTCATTATTTTCTCTCATAGTTTCGCCAACGCTGCTCCCGTCTTCTTCTTGCCGTCCATGTACATCGTCGCCACTAGAACAGCTCCCTGCTCCCCCGTCGCTAAGAAGTTCATGACAGGCCGCTCCCTCCGATCGTTAGACCCGTCCATGATGAAAGTGTAGCCGGTGACATCCCAACATTTTGTCAAAGGCTCCACTTGCTTTTGAATGCGCATGAAAATGAACCCGAGCATGACAGTCCGAATGTGCTTCGAAGACGGCAACTTCACCTGCGGTCTGGCCTTCGTCACCTCGAGATACACGTTGTGCAGCTGCTGCGTGGTGTCGAACTCCAGGAATTGGAATGCAATTTCGGCTCTGAACATTGCCTCCGCCCACGCAACATCCAACTTCTTCTGCGCCGCGTTGTCGACCCATCTCTTAATGGTCGTTTGCTGCATTGAAGCTATCCTTGTGGTGGAAGCACCATCTTCTCTAGCCGCCTGTGTTGCTGCAGTCTCTTTTCCCCGCTGCACCAGCTCCTCCACTGGCTCCCTCCTAGCAGCAACCGGCAGTTGTGGTTCCTCACAACCGCGAGGTACAACCGCACTCTCGTCGTCTTCGTTGAGAGCAGCCCCCCCCGCCGAAATATTGTGAAGCTGCCGGTAATTTTGCAGAAGGTATTTTGTCTTCTTGTTCTTCGGCAGCACCTTCGCGCGAGCCTTGGGCCACCAGCTTGTGCAATATCTCGTCTGTCATGAAAGGGCAAGGCTTCTGCAATTTGAGGAAATGTTCAACGGCTCTTGTGCTCGTGCCCCTGTAAACGGTCGATAGCCGACACCGCAGCCAATACTCTCCCCGCCCCTTCGGCACAGCCTCCTGACCTTGCTCCACGTGCTTCCACACCTCCTTCTCGCCCTGTAGCTTCGTTTGCCTTCCCTCCGGCTGTGGGACGAACAAGGATGGGTCCGTAGCCGGCGTCGGGACTTTGTCAACCACCCCCAACAAAGGTGCGCTCCAGCTCGCAATGTCCTTCCCTCTACCCCCTCCTCTTTCCGGCTGCCTCCGGCTCCCTTCTCCACCAACCGCACCCCCTGCCCTGCTCCCACTGGCCATGCTGCTGCAACCACGTCCTCCGCTTCCAATAAACAACTGATAAAATGGTAGGATGGACGGACGGAGGGAGACAGCTTTACAATGCCGAAGAAGAAGAAGAAGAAGAAGGATGGATGGCGAGATATTACGATGGAGGGAGATGCGTTACAATATCGATATGTGGCGAGGGAAGGACGGAGGGACTATGAACCGAGGGAGGGATGGATCGAGGGAGGGAGGGAGGGATGGCGACATGGGAGGGAGGGAAGGATGGCGAGATGGGAGGGAGGGAAGGATGGCAAGATGGCTAGGGAGGGACGGAGGGACTACGGACCGATGGCGAGATGGGAGGGACTATGGCGAGACGGGAGGGAGGGAGTCATGGCGAGATACTATGGCGAGGTGTGGATATGGGAGGGAGGGAGGGATGGCGAGATGGCGAGGGAGTGAGGGAGTATGACGCGTGCGCGTGGGCGAACTGTGCGTGGAGGGTGCACAAGCGGGAAGAGGAGGTGGCACAAAGGAGAGGAGGAGGTTGAAAGAGGGGGAGGAGCAGGTCGCACGAGGAGGACGAGAGGTTGCAGCGGACGTCGAACGGGAGGTTGGAGGAGGTCGCACGAATGGTCTGAGGAGGTCGGACGAGGATACATGAGCGGGGAGGAGGAGGTGGTGTAAGGAGGAGGAGGAGCTGGATGAGGTCGGAAGAGAGGTGTGAGAAGGACGAGTGAGGGGGAGGAGGACGCCGTGCAAGGGGGAGGAGTGGGTCGTGGGAAGGGTAGGAGCAGGTCGCACGCTGGGGACGAGAGGTTGCAGGAGGTCATGCAGCAGGGGAAGGAGGAGGTCGTGCTAGGGGGAGGATTTCGTGCGAGCAGGAGGGGGTTGTGAGGGAGGACCAGAACGTCGCGATAGGGGGAGGAGGTTGCACAAGGGGGCGTGCGCGCACACACGAGAGAGAGAGAGAGAGAGAGAGAGAGAGAGAGAGAGAGAGAGAGAGAGAGAGAGAGAGAGAGAGAGAGAGAAGGTTGCCATATCTTCCTCCCAATGTCGAGAAGATGCCGTTGGCTTTTTTTGGGGGGGTGGTAATTGGCCAAATACCCCCATAAGTTGGCATATGAGAGACGGTTAACGGGGCCCAAATATTCGCCGTTTTCGTTGGCAATTGCGGTGCGAATGTTATTTAAAATTAATGGGGGCCCAAATATTAACCACGTGTGTGGCATATATGTCAAAATATCCCTGAAAATTATGCGTTTTTTTTGCAATTGCACCCACAAAAAGTTGGCAACTACCGGGGCATTCTACAAAGTTGGACAGTGTCTCGTAGGGGACATTGCAAAGATGGGGTCAAACCGATGTCTGGGGTGTTTTACAAAATGTTTTTGTTGTCGTCCTTGACCGCAGCGTAGCTGCGGGAGGTCCACTTGTAATAATAATAATAATAATAATAATAATAATAATAATAATAATAATGATACGAAATAGAGGGAGGATTTCGTGCGAGCGGGAGGGGGTCGTGAGGGAGGACGAGGACGTCGCGATAGGGGGAGGAGGATTGCACACGGGGGCGCGCGCGCACACAAGAGAGAGAGAAAGAGAGAGAGAGAGAGAGAGAGAGAGAGAGAGAGAGAGAGAGAGAGAGAAGACTGCAATATCTTCCTTCAAATGTCGAGAAGATGTCGTTGGCCTTTTTTTGGGGAGTGGTAATTGGCCAAATACCCCCATAAGTTGGGATATATGTCAAAATATCCCTGAAAATTGAGCGCTTCTTTTGCAATTGCACCCACCAAAAGTTGGCAACTACCGGGGCATTTTGCAAAGTTGGATGGTGTCTGGTAGGGTACATTGCAAAGATGGGTTCCAACTAATGTCTGGGGTGTTTTGCAAATTGTTTTTGCTGTCGTCCTTGACCGCAGCGTAGCTGCGGGAGGTCCACTTGTATATATATA